TTGCACCTCACTGCCTTTTTACCTGACTTACTGATATGAGCTGTGGCAACTCGGACTGTTACGCAGTAATGCCTGGTCTTATGTTGATATTGATTGATTGAATAATTCAATGGTGTCAATCAAGGATGACCTCTCTCTCCATTTGTATTCAATTTTATCACAGACGCACTTATTCAGGTCCTCTACTCATCGTCTTATTTCACAGGGACTGATCATATCACAGGAGAACGCATTGGTAGATCTAGAGTACCTAGATGACATAGTCCTGTTAGGTGAAGATCCTGATAAGATGCAGAGTTTTCCAGACACCTTGAGTGACAGTTTGAGTATGTTTGGGATGCGTTTCTCGCCACCGAAATGCAAGTTGTTACTCCAAGACCGATCTTCAGCAGTTTCCAGGTTGACAATTGAGAGTGAAGTGGTTGAGCGTGTTCAGAAATTTCCTTACCTGGGAAGTCGGATCAGCCCTGGTGGGTCAGTGGCCGACAGAATCTCTGCGCGCATACAAAGACTCGACTGGTTAGGGTCCACGCGGCAACAAAAACCAGTGGCTAAAGAACCTAGGTGATATGTCAAAGAATAGATCTGATTGGCACAGATGTATCCAAACATTATCTGCATTTTAATCGTTATACTGAATTCGGTATTTCCTCATTCCCCTTACTTTATTTTACTGCTGTCTACTGCTTTTGCCGGTTTTTCTCGATTTCTTTGCTCTTCATCGCATTACTTGACGCTTGATGTGCTGAAATGAGGTGTGGTAACCTAGATTGCGACACAGTAATGACTAAACCTACGTTGATATGCATCATATACAGCAATTCTGAACAGCATTCTTCATAAAGTGTAAAGGAAAACTCACAAAAGTACACTGAGACATAGGCCAAAAGAGAAATAAATAGAACTACTTGTATGCCATAATTCTTAATATAGCTATCGTAAGTTGGCAAATATGTCATTTCTTGCTACCATTTCTTAATCAAGCTAATCTGAAAAGTAAACCTAACTGGATGACTTAGTTGACAATGTTTATAAGTAAGAGATCATAAACGCGTCATATAGTGACATAATCATGCGACACAGCAACAACATTAGACCATAAACTAGAACATTTTTGCAAGAACTGCCATCAGTTTGAACAAAAAACCTTACCAAGTCAAACAAACAAAATCAACCTACCAACTCACACAGTAGTGCACCACTTGAAGTTCATGCATTTTACAGCAATGTGCGAAGTACACGCAGGTAAGAAAGTGATTTCAAAGTAAACAAAAATGTTAACATGGTAGTAGAATTTGGTCATTGTGGTAGATTGCAAGTCCGGCTATAGCTCTGTACGCAGTTACGCATAATCAAACAGTAGAGTGGGATAGAGTGACAGCACTAAAAAATAACTTAGTTGGGTGGGGGGAGAGATTGACAACCGAATGTTTCTTTATCGAATCAACACCAAATACATGTAGTAGAAATGATTCTGTACCAGTTCCCAGATATATGGAAATCCTGCTACTCTTGTCACAAAGAAGCAGGGAAAATTAGGACTATATAAACTGTTGCAAAGTTGTGGAGCTACCTGATATGAATACGAACAGCAAATTGTGTCCGAAACTTTATCCAGTAAATGATGTTTCACTGTGTGACATTTCTAATAGACAAACCAACCTACACAAAAGTGTACAGGAGAAAAAACTTGAAAATGCAAATTAGTGGAAATGCTCAAATAGTGGATACATCTCAGTCTCTATGATTAGTTTTGAGCCACATCACGAAGGATTGCTTGAGGATCCAAACCAAGCGGTCCACAACTCCGGAAATGACTTACACCGATAATCAGGACATCTTAGACTGGTAGCATGTCTTAATCCGGCGACCTTGAACCTGCTTCCAACCCACGCCTACTTCGGTTAATTGGTTGAAAGTCAATGCCTAATCCACTTATCCACAAAGTTCACTGAAATGACTTAAGTAACTAAGAACGTAAACGTTTAAGACCCTTTCAAAAATTCTACCTTTTTAAGTACAATATAAATGCCAAAAATCAGAGTTTTACAACAAAATATTAACAAAGTAGAATTAAGAAACTCAGACTTTTCTGTTCAAATAATGTAGCTCAAAAAACACGCACAAATTCATATACTATCCTACGACCAATATTCATTGTATGGGTAGTCATACGAGCGAATTATAACGCTAATCAGCGGTTAAAATAAATGACCTTTTTACTACATGTAACTCTCATAAAGTTAGCTAACTAATACAGTTTTGCAGCCTCATGCACGCTTTGGTACTAGATTATCAATTATATCCTATATGAAAGTACATGGGCGTATAAATGGAAATGGGAAGAATTAGCTTGAAGCCGAGACCCAATGCTTCGTATTCGAATACCTATGCCACTCAGTCGTAATCCAATTAAACTAAGTTCTGGGATAAAAGTTCGTAAACCTAACCTACATTTGCCCCCTAAACACAAAGAAGCTATGTGGAAAAAAGCTATCAGAGAAATCAAAGTATAACTTCAAGAAAGTTGAACAGTTCAACTTGGCACATTTCAAAAAGCAAAGAACTAGCTAGTGATCAATAACATAATGGTTGTACGAATATCTTATGTTTTTACAAGGTAAGACTTTTCTGAAAGTTTCTCAGTGCAAGCTACCGCTTTTCAGCAAAATAACATTAAGAAGGAAAACACGCGCCTAATGACAGGTTCAGAAATGAAATAGTCGCCTGAACAGATCTATTTTAATGTGACAGATTAAGAGCTACATCAGCAGAACTGAGCAGAGATAAGAAAAAACAGAAAATGCATATTGCCGGAAATCCACCCACTAGAGATACACCAAAAGCACCACTGAACACAATTACGAACCAAAAGTGTCAACAACATGCAGAAAAAAGATTAACATGAGGAGTATGCCGATAAATAGGACAAAGGAGAACGAAACAGAACTAGTTATACAATAATGAGCTAATTCAGTTTGGGAGAAATGTAAACGGTTGGTGCACTTGCACTAACGATATCAATTTCAACTCACACAAGCAAAGGGCCTGCAAACCTCTAGTTATTCTGCTACAAAGCTGTTGATCAAAAACTATTTCCACTCTAAGATTATACTGTCTGAATAGCCAAGCTACTGAGATCCCATGTGCAGGGCACACTAACAAAGTAACTTTATCGTAAATTCTGTATAGGGAAACAATGAAACTTCAAATTGTTAAATTAGGCTCAGATAGACATAACGAAAATGCGATTAGATATAACTTTCGAACAATGTAGGTTGCACGACATCCCATTTCAGATAAGTATGCTAGTTTGATCTCCGTGGGAACAAAGATATGAAAGTCATACCAACAGGCATAAAAACAATAAGAGAGGTAAAACAGAGAATAGGAATACGGACAGACGATATTACTATTTACAAGACAAGATTCAGATGCACATGTTCTACTGATTGCTTTTGAGTCACATCATGTAAAATCTTCAGTCATCTATTTTGGTTGTCGCACAATCCAATCACGGAGCCAACATTTCCATATGTGGCTACGACAGATATTCAAAAATGTCAGGATTGATGCCATATCTTGGTCTGGTTAACCTTAACGACATTAAATCCTTTTCTGCCTCAGCTAAAAATTGTTTGTTAAAGTATATGACTGATGAGAATGCATGGGACATATCAGTTATCTGACTTACTGCACACTTACAATCTCATTGAAGTGAGGCTGACTAGACCAAACGAGGTAATTCCTCGCGATCCTCCATATTTTTGGTTCCTTATTCTTTCTAACATATCAGAGATACCAAAAAATTTTGGTCGAACAGATATTCTCTTAGAAGTCACTTATATAAGCTTTACATTTGCTTGCCACTTGTCTTTCTTGACAAGCTCATCAGCATCAACTTCAGCATGAGTTGAGGTATCAGGATTTCCCTGTAAGTTATCCAGTGACCCGGTCTGACAGTGGTCTGTCACCACAGGCCTTCATTGGTTGCTGACTGCACAGATTTTTCTGCTGGCCGTATCTCTACCTGACCAACGACGTTGCAGTTGTTTAGCGGTTCTCCTATTGGTTGATCGACTGAATCTATATCTGTGCGTCCGTTGGTCGTTTATTGAAGTATATACCGAAATTCTAGGAACTCTACAGTACACTTTGTTTCTCTTGTCTAAGAGCATAGGTAATATCGAGGCATCCGCACAGGACCCCATATGCCAATAGAGACCGATCAATTCGGTCTAATCAATGACGGTATGATATCAGAACAATCATATACTAAAAACTATACCCGTCGTACAAGAAGTGGCTACCGTGGCTCGGTGGTGTAGTGGATAACGCTCTGGCGTTTGGAGCGATCGCTCCCGAGTCTGAATCCCTGTGGGAACAACATCACTCACTAGGAAGCAGGTACATCCTGACGACTAGTCCCAAATAGGATGAAATGCCCATCCTGGATTCCACTGCTAGCCACTATCCAGCATAACTATCATACGAATGCTAAGTGCCTAAGCGGTGTTGAGTTCCTGAGGAAAACCTATTGGGCCTCCAGTGGCAGATACCCACACTTCATGAAAACGACTGCTATCTTCGCCAGGATTTTCTTTAAGACTTTGTTGACAAAACTTAATTGTTGCCTTCACCCTTGATTCGAATACTACAGTTTGTACCAGAGATTTGTGGAGTCATATAGGTGCAATAATATAGTACGGAGCCTTTTAAGGCAATATGAGCCAGACGAACTGAAAAAACTAATGGCAAAATATCAGGCAAACTGACTAGAACGCGGTGCAGTGAGAGAGAAAATGTTGAAAAAAAAATTTCATTTTGACCCTTGAAAACTCTACCTAAACATAAACACACACAAACTAGCTGGATTTCCCGGGTCCTTATCCTTTGTCATCTAGAGAGTTAACAGAACATATCATGTAAACACATAATATGACATGTAAGACCAGATAATTTAAAAAATATGTCGTAACATTAAACAAAATCGAAAATACCTCCAGTCGTTGATGGTCATCTCTCTGAGCAGTACAAAAGTTAGGTCAGTGACCCTATCATCTTGCGAGGAGTTTTTAATCGGATATTCTACAGAATTTTGCTGATTAAGTAGAGAAATTAAGCATTTTACATACAACTTCCGGTAATCTTCCAGTTTTATGTACGAAATCAAGTACTTCGCTATTCATTATCTCCAGTTTAGCTATCCTATCATGCAAGTACTTTATTTCCTCTCTCTTTGCATCTAGAGCATCGCTAAAAATCTGAAAATAGTTGCTGGACATCATCTGTAAACAATGATCGTAGTCAGCGCCAAACAACTCGCACTGCAGATACTTGTCCTGTAATAGATCCAATAAACTCATCTCAAGGTCATATCTTTTCCTACGTCCAGTAGCATCAACCAAAAACAACAGTGGAAGCGCAGAAAACTGACAGTTTTTGATCTATCGCAACTAGTTTTATCAGCTTTTGTTTGAGTTGTTCGGTTTGCTCTAGTAGTGGACAAAGAAGGCCCCTTCTGATTTCTGACTTTCAGCTCCGGTGTGGTGAATGCTTTTGTGGGTTAGTAAATTGCATTTTGTAGTGTGATTAGGGGGCTTTTCGTTGATGGGATGCTTAGAAGCCTGTCTTGACTCCTGTCTCCTTAGGTGCCTGAATAGAAATAGCAAGACAGTGCGAAAAAGCATGTGGGAATTACCCTAATAGTAGATGCCATAGGTCTAGTTGCTGGAGAAGAGTTAGTAGATAATGTAGATATATCAACAAGAGTGGTAGTATGTTAAGTAGAGTGGAAGTGATGGTGGGCTGGTGAGCTCAGTAACTCCCTCAGTACATCTGTGGTAAACCATATGAAGTGACATGACTCTCTAGCCGTCTTTTGAATGAGTTCACCAAGGGGGGCTGTGACCACATCCCGCGGTAGGCCATTCCACAAAGCACATACTTTTAGGGAGAAGAAGTTAGACCTGAACCTGATGTTGGTTTTCTGGTGTGTTATCCTGGTGAGGCTTCCTCGTGATGACCGCCATGTTGCGGACAAGGCTAGTTAGATACCGTGATTTGCCTTTCAGGAACTGTCCTGGTGCAAACTTGACCGAGACAGAGGCCAGTCACTATTTTTTAGAACTTGTTATATACCCACGAATACAAGACCAAGAAAAAACACAATAGCGTAGTCGGATGGAATGGTATATTTGCGAGATCGTGCCTAGATGCTGATGCGTTCCAACTAACTGGCTGGAGGGCCGAATACGAGCAGTGCAACGTAACACGACAGCGTGTCAAATACCGAGGATGCTTGACCAGGTGCCTTCAGCTTGGCGCGTCCGGTAAAACTACGAAGGCCAGCGTCAATGCTGAATCTCGTCGAACCCTAGGCTATTGATTCCGAAGAAGTGTGTGACGCTTCAGATCATCCCCCTAGTGGGTTTGTGAGGACCCTAAAACAATATCGGCCGGAGATAAAAAAACCCAGTGGTTTCTCCACTGGTAAAACTCTTACGGTGGGCCCACTGCGAGAAGTGGCTCCCGGTTGTCTGAACTTATTCTAGGGTGTCGTAGGGAATGAAAAATAAAATGTAACACATCGGATTGTACGTCGATCGTGATCCTCAGTGTTCTTGTACGTTCCGTTCGGTGACCGTTGCACCTGCAGTATAAATAAAAGTCTTTGATTCCACGAAAACGTTTCGTAAAAGTGGGAAACATCCATATATAAATATACTGAAAATGAAGTTTATGCATTCCCAGCAAATAGACAAATGGTGTCCAGAAAAAATAACTCGATTAGAAAATGGTTGGCACATTTTATTTCGCACTACTGAATTGAATATGACTTTAAATACTCCGGGAACCTGACGGTTCGACCCGGTAGTGTTTTTTGCTGTCCCGTTGGTTTCTGCATCCGTGTATTACTAGGCCCATCGTCAAAAATTGCGATAGTCGGGCTATCCGCTGGTCGGTCATAGCAAGCCGAAACGTCACTTATGATTGGGTTGCCTTCGGAATAAGCTGATTTCAAACAGGCGATACTAACTATATCTTCATATCCATTTTGCTCTGTTATGTAGAATCTCTCATGCCGCTTGGTCACTTTGAATGGCCCATCGTAGCATGGTTCAAGTGGTCGACGGACGGCATCGTGGCAAACGAACATGTGTGATGCCTTCTGTAAACTGGGGTGAACGAAGACATCAGTCGTTTGAGGTCTAACTGGACAAGGCCTAACTTAACGCATTGCGTTTGTAAGCCTAGTCACGTAGGATGTCCCGTCAAAAACACGTTCTAAAGTTGGAGGGGAAACCAACTCACCTGGTAAGCAAAGAGTGGTCCCATAGACGAGTTCTTCAGAGATGCATCCAGCATCAGCTTTCAAAGCGTTACGAATACCAGGTAGGACTAGAGGCAGAACCTCGGTTCACTGAGATATGTTTGCAGCTGAAAGGGAAGCTTTCAGCTGCCGATGGAAACGCTCTACCATGCCACTTGCTTGTGGATGGTAGGCTGTCGTTCGGAACCGAGTGCAACCTAAAAGTGCCGTTAGAGCGTGAAATAATCCACACTCAAATTGGCGCCCACGGTCGGTTGTGGCGTAAGATGGACATCCGATGTTCGCGATCCATCTTTCGACGAAAACACGAGCAACTGTTTCGGCAGTAACATCCTTAATAGGTACTGCTTCCGGCCATAGTGTGAAACGATCAACACAAGTGAAAAGGTAGGTACATCCATTAGATTCTGGTAGGGGTCCTACAATATCTATATGGACGTGGTCGAAACGCATGTCTGGGGCTAGAAATGAGCCTAAAGGGCTTTTCGTGTGTCGCGTGACTTTACACTTTTGACAAGCTAAGCACGACTGAGCCCACTCCTTAACGTCCTTGTTCATCCCAGGCCAGCAGAAACGTTGTGCGATAAGCCTAATGGTGGCTCGTACACCTGGATGAGAGAGTTTGTGCAACGTATTGAAAACGTTGCGTCGACAACTCTTCGGAACTAGTGGGCGTGGTTGACTAGCAGAGACATCGCACAAAATTGTATCCTTGTCTGATCCAACAGGACAAAGTCGCAGTTTGAGAGTTGTGGACGACAACTCATGATGCAGCTCAAGGTCTTTTTTAACACCGAGCTGGTTCAACGAGATCATCGCCTTTTACGCGGTTTATCGAAGCTACTAGAGATAGTGCATCGGCTGCGGAATTATGCTCTCCAGAAATGTGGCAGATATTTGGCCTGAACTGGGAAATATGATCCAGTTGTCACTACTCACCCGAGGAGCATTTGTCAGACGCCGGGCTGAGGGAAAAGGTTAACGGTTTGTGGTTTGTGAAAATAATGAAATTGCGACCTTCTACAGAATGTCGAAAGTGGCGTACAGAACAGTACATAGCTAGGAGTTCCCTATTAAATGCTCTATATCTTGTTTCTGCGTCCTGCAGCCGCCTCGAGAAAAAGGCTAAGGGCTGCCACTGGTTGTCAGTCAACTGCTGCAGGACAGCTCCAATTGCTGAGTCAGATGCATCAACAGCAATACTCAAAGGAGCACTGGGGTCATGACGCATAAGCCTGGTTGCATATGAAGTGGCTTCCTTGACTTTAGAGAAGCTAGTCTAGCCACGTTGTCCAGGGTCACGAACTTCGTAGTCCCTCGAAGCAGATCTGTTAGTGGTCTCATGACAGAGGCACAGTTGGGGATAAACCTTCGGTAATAACTTACCAGGCCATTGAAAGTGGGAGCTGCTTCACAGTGGCGGGCTCTGGATAGTTTGTGATAGCCACCACTTTATCTCTCGATAGGCTTATACCTATGTTGTCAATGGTATGCCCAAGGAAGCTGAGTGATTCAACTCCTATTACACACTTCTGCAAGTTGACTGTGATGCCATCACAATCAGCATCGACATAGGACCAGGCATTACTGCGTAACAGTCCGAGTTGCCACAGCTCATATCAGTAAGTCAGGTAAAAAGGCAGTGAGGTGCAAGATGAAGATAAGAAAATTCAGTCAAAAGAAATATAAAGTACGAGAAGAAAGAAAGGAGGAATGACAAAATGGTGAGGTTCGGTACAGGGTCGTTAAGTTGAGGATAATGTGTGTATAAATCTGCGCCGCTGACATCGATTCTGAGTCATATCGCCTACAGTCTCCAACCACTGGTTCCTCTTGTCTCGCGGACCCCAACCACCTAGTCTGCATCGCCCTACATAGCTCAATCCAACAGTCAAAGACTTCATACATTGGTGCCATGTTTTAGTCTGGCCACCTCAGGCCATTTTGCAGCTTGGACCTACTTCAGCCAACATTGTGTGACGAGACAATCGGTGACTAGGCATACGTAGTACGTGTTTCAACCATCTCAATTGATGAAGGTTAATGACCTCGTCAACAGACTTACACATACTCCCTAGAACGCTACTCCTAACTTGTGCATTAGTCATGTGGTGACACCACGGAATACGGCCTATACTACGAAGACAACGGTGGTCAACCGCCTGAAGCCAGCCTTCTCATGTCTTCCATCCCCAATGGTCATGTTTCACAGCCATATAGTAGAACAGACCGGACTGCTGTGCAGTACACGCAACCCTTAATAGACAATCGGATAACACGGAGGCGCCATAGGTGGCGTAAGTCGGCAGAGGCCAATCGAGCCTTTTGTATCCGTGCAGAGATTTCATCGGCCACTGACCCAGCCATTAGGACTGGTAAAGTGAAGTGATCGACATACCCAGTCACTACACTCTGCATTGTTAGCCGCTGTGCGGCACCGTTGAAGACCAATCCTGGAGCGACAATTTGCATTTGGGTGGTGAGCAAAGCATCCCAAACATTCTCAAATTGCCACTCAAAGTGTTCAGAAGACTCTGCACAATGTCAGCGTCTTCACCTAACAGGACTGTGTCATCAGCATATTCTAGGTCTAAGGGAAATTCTCCTGCGATTAGGTCAACGTCTATGTAACCTGGTGACGAGATGGAGACCTATGTAAGAATATCTTTGATAGAACTGAATAAGAATGGAGAATGTAAGCATCCTTTACGGACACAGCTAGACAAGGACAGCTGCCCACGCACCCTTACGTGGCCCTCTGTCGCGCCCATAAATGTTCTGTTGGACAGCCTTCAATTAGGTTATGTACCTACTCGACACACCTTTCAGTGAAAGACACTGCCGTCAGACTTTTATATCAACGGAGAAAAATGCCACACTCAGATAGAGAAAAAGAGCTAGCGTTGGGCTTCGGTAAGCGTGCTTATGTTCCAGAACCTGGCGCAGTATGAATATCTGGTCAGTACACCCGCGGCTGGGTCTAAAGCCTACCTGGTTTTCTCGGACTTGCTGTTCCCAAGCTCCACTCAGACGTCGAAGAATTATAGAACCTAGGATCTTGGACACCATGTTCGTCAAGCTGATTCCTCTGTGGTTATCACAAGAGGACTTCTCGCCTTTCTTGAAGACTGGAATAATCAGTGGTTCAGACCAGTCAGAGGGGATCGTATTTGATTCCCATATACTGGTTAACACTTTCGTTAACTTCACCACCATCCTCGTGTACCTCACGAGTTAGTCCGTCTGATCCTGCCGCCCTTCCCCATTTCACGTCACCTACTGCTTTCTCGAATTCTGTAGTGTTGGGGGGCCTATCTCAATGTTCCATCCAGGATCCGATTAGATAGCGGGCAATGCAATGGTGGCTGGAGGTCAGTTAAACTGCTCCTCGAAGTGTTCTGCCCATCGTTCCAGTCGTCTGCCCTGCGAGTGAATCACAGGCCCGTCCTTCTCCGCTATAGCCTCACTAACTGATGTTGACCATTTCCCCCCAGTCTCCTTGATAAGTCTAAATAACTGTCTACTGTTACCAATCGCCACTGCCTTCTCCATCTCTTTAGCATTCACTCCCCACCACTGTTTGCGATCGTTGCATAGACTTTTTCTCAATCTACTCTCAAGTTGGGCTCTCTCTTCATTGTACTCAGAGCCTGCAGGGATGCGTTCACGTGCATCCATTAGTTCAGAAGAAGCTGCTCACATCCACTGGCTCTTCTTAGCCACTCTTTCGGAGTCGGCTACGGTCTTCAGCGCAGCTTTTACAACAGACTGGAGATGGCACTAAGCTTCTTCTGGATGACCGATAGTCTTTCGTTTCAATAACTGCCTAGCCAACTTCTCACTGGACACTGCCTTGGTGTCTTCGTTATCCAACAGTACTCGTAGTGGTTTTGTTGCCATTTTTTTCACGTCCATTGAGACGCAGGCATGTACACGCTCGGACCAACGTGTGGTCGCCATCCAAACACCTACTCCAGAAGGAGCGGCAGTCTTCCACCGATCCTCTCCAGCGATGACTGACACCAATGTGGTATATCTGCGTCCATCGCTGAGTTGAGCTCGGTGGACGCCACGTCAGACAGTGCCTTTCTTTATGTCTGAAATTTATGCTAGCTCAAAATAGGCGATTATCTGAGCATAGTTGTAGTAGGCGATCACCGTTATCTGTACGTTCAGCCGGGACTCCGGAAGTGCCGCCTAAGTGCCTGTTGAATACGGGGTACGTCTCCTTAACCGCGTCCGCAATGAGAGTCATCTATGTAGACATGTACAAGATATAAACCGCGGAAGAGGCCATCGATAATGCGTTGGAATTTTTGTGCTGCATTCCAAATACCAAATATCACGCGCAGAAGTCCAAACAAGCCAAAAGGAGTAATGATGAGCGCTTTCACGGTATCTCCTACTATCGTATATATCTGATTATACGCTTTGACCAGACTGATTTTGCAGAATATGTTCATTCGGCTTGACGTCGCGGTCAAGTCGCAAACATGAGGTATCGGTTTGCAGTCCGGTGTCGTTTTGACGTAAAGCCTTCAGCAATCACCGGTTGGACACCAGTCGTTGCTATCCTTTTTGGGAACTATATGTAGTGGTGATGCCCAAGGACTGCTTGACGGTTTGATGATGCCCAGTTCGCGCATGTGGTTGAATTCACCCTTCACCGTTTCTAGCTTATCAAGGGCTAGACGCCGGGCTTTGGATGCCACAGGTGGACCTGTGGTTGTGACGTGATGTATAACATTGCTGGTTATGCCTCGTTGGTTTTATATTTTCTCATATCCTCCGTCTCTGATACTCATTTTCCCCCCTGCACTCACATTACCACTTCACGTTCACTTACTATTGAACTTTATCGACAAATTTCGGCAGTTTCTGTTCACTTCTGTACCCTTACACTTAGTTTTCTGCGAAAAATCTCAGCATCTTTCTGAAGTTAAGAACTTCGACCCTCATGACAATGTCAGTGCAGTAGAACAGACCGTACAGTCACTTAGAGATTGAGTCAGCATCTGAACACTTTTTCGATCTGCTTGAAGTATATGGAGCAAATGGCTGGACCCGCCAAGCGTATCCGGCAAAACGATATACACCAGAATCGTGTTACATCTGGTCAGACCCTAGGCTATTGGTTTTGAGGAGCCGCTTGTCCCACTTTCTGTAGAGATTTAAACTGCAGGGCCTCACGGAAGCTGCTGGGTTGAAATGTTACACCATGCATCTTTTTTCTTAATCTAAACTTCAGTGTCTCACATTAATTTTATAAAATGGCCCGCACCTACTGTCCCGTCGGGGAACCAAACAAAGCTTCATCTGTACGTCCGTATGCTTCGTCGGTAATTTCAAGGAAACTCAATGGATTTCAAAAAAGTGTGTGTTGTTTTACACCTGGATTATATGACATGAGTTAGCTATATGTAAAGAAGACACCCTTTGTGAACTGAAACGGTCATTCTTCTTGACATGCTAAGGAACTGAGGAAGGCCAACAAACGGATCCTCAAATCTAGATATAAAACCACGTGTGCAAAAAACTAGGAAGTCCATCTGTGGGTTAAAGAGACACCACTAGGTTGAAGAACAAGGAACTGACACCGAATACACTTATAGGCTATTCAAACAGACAAGAAACAAATGAACGAAGGTACTGGGATCCGATTGCAACGACACTAAGTAGGGCTAACAGCCATATTTGTTTTTCTGACTTGGGAAGTCTGTTCCGCTACACTGCTTCATTCCCGCAGGCTAAAGCGGGAGTCCCTCAACTATTAGGTACCAACGGACTGACTAGCAGCGACAAAGGAGCAGCTAAGCTCCTGGAGGACCAGTATTTACAAATCTTTTCGTCGTCGTCCACCTACTCAGGGGCTTAGGAATGTCACACTAACGAAGCGGGACTTTCGGTCGTTGAAGTGAGCGTTCAGCCAGTACAGCGCAAACTGCTACTGCTCACAAAAGACCATATCACTTTATGCGGCGGTACTGTGGAAAGGAGCATCAGTCCTGCCTTAACTTTAGGTCAGATTATTTGAGAATTCTGTAAGTCAAGGGGAAGTACTCGATCTTTGGAAGCTGGGCCACATAACGCCAATCTTCAGAGGGAGTCAATGAACCAACCCAAAAAGAAAAACCGATGATGCTTTTATCCATACCTTCCAAAGTAGCGGAACCGTTAATCTGTGATGGACTGGAAGATCACCCAACAAAGATGAACTTCTTTACACTCCGACAACACAAATTTTGAAAAGGGTTCCCCTGCAGTACTAATCTGCTCACCGCAGTGGATAGATGGACTGCCATTATCGACAGTCGAGATCGAAATGATGTTATTTACCCAGACTTTGCTAAGCCGTTTGATCGTGCTAATCAAAACTGTCTTGGTGGTAAACTAAAATCACTCGCGACAAAACCAGCGCTCATTGACTGAAAATCTTCATATCTGCCAGGTCATTCATTCAGAGTTCGAGTGAGTTTCTTTTTGCCTTAGAAGCAGAATGTACTAGTGGTGATCCCCAAGGTTCAGCACTAGGCATTCTTCCTTTTCTATCATACATAAATGACTAGCTTCTACAGGCTGCTTCGGACATCTATCTTTTTGCCGATGACGTGAGACTGTGAAGAGAAACGAAAAGTGATGAGTGCAGTTATTCTCTGCACGAGTATTTAACTCAACTTCAGAGCTGGGTAGATAATAATGGGCTTGCATTTAATTCTGAGGAATGCAGGTGGTACACGCAAGATACGGTGCATGTCATGCATATCACCTGAGCGGAATGGAACTGTAAGCTCTGCTGACGGAGGAGGAATTGTGGATTTTAGTCCCTCAGTACTAAAAATCATCTGCCAACTGTGTCACACTTGGCGTTAGTAACCCTTGGATAAATATACAGACATTAAGACCGTAGATGTCTCCACCAGACTTTCAACACCTTCCTACGGCCTCACCTGGAGTTCAGAACCATCCTCTTCCCCACTTCTCTATAGAAGGTCAAATTAAGCTAAAAACTCATGCAGAGGCGCTGGACGGGAGCCGTTTGGAGATTTAGGTGTAAAGTATACGAAGGGCGACTAGTTGTACTGGATCCGCATCCTCTGGAATGTACAGGGCTAAAAGGAGACTTGATAATGACTCCCAACATGTCGAGCATCCCTGGACACCCACTTCACTTCTTGAAACTTAGCTGTGGGACCGGTCTTACAGAAACTAAGCTTGGGACGTAACAGGTTAGATATCAGGTGTGACTTCAGTTCCTTAAGAGTTGGCGAACCTTAGAATGCGGTTCATGCTGACGTGATCCAGACTGCTTCGTCTGGATCCACTCAAGGCTGGCTGGATACTCATTTCACATGTAGCTGGGATCTGCTCATGACTACTTGAATTTTCACATTTTAACCGCCACTTTTTCCTCTCTCTACACTTATACACAGGTTACTAACAGCAGTAGGTAGTGGTCCACGTATATTAGACTCAGAAGCCAGCTAAGCGAAAGCTTCTATTCCGTCAACATACAGTTGAACCATATTACCAATTCGAAAAAAATCAGTCAAATAAATAAAACAAAACTTCAAGTTATACTTTTGAGTTTCCAAACTTAAGGCCTAGTGGTCAACTGCTTATAGATGGATAAGATAGTCAACATTAACATTTATGTATTGAAAGTTGAACACCCCAGAGGACATTGAGAAGAGCGGCCTTCGCTACTAATCCGCTACTCCAAATTAGGATGTCTACCAATAAGGGTCCTAATGAATTATTCTCTACATTCTATGAAGAAGTTAAGGCTATTGAGAAAAGAGATTCAGTTTTGACACCTAAACAGCAAATAGATCGGCTTAATCGCCCTGGGTCGACTTATTTCAATTTAAATCCATATGATGTATGCTCGGTGTAACTTTGTTCAAACAACCTAGGTTTTACAAGTAGACCCTGATACCCCTATGGCTGATATCAAAAAGAAATATAGACAGGTTTTTTCTGTTCATACTGCCCTTATTTCTTTAGTTATCACTTCTGGTTCATCCAGATAAAAACCCCGATGATACTGAACGGTCTCAGAAAGCGTTTGAAGGTATATCTTTCTCTCCAATGTTTTAGAAATATTTAAATAGCTGTGAACAAAGCATATAAAGCTTTGGATGACCCTGAAACGTGCCGCAAATGTAAAGAGGTAGTCGAGGAAGCTAAAGAACGTGTTGAACAGATGGTATGTCTTGTTAACTTTCCAATCACTTTCAGATGATCGAAAAACGAAAGAGACTTAAAAAAACAAGTGGTTCCATCTCAATTGAGGAGGATGATCCAGAGAAGGTAACTTTGGTTTGTTTCATAATCCATGCAGCACCGACACGCCATTTACGTCCAAACTTGCAAGCTTTTCGCAGACCTTGAGAGACTGAGAGTGGAAGAAGAACTGAAGCAGTCATCTGATAGGTATTTCTTTTAACGTTTTGGATGCTTTGTTCGGAAACTTTCTTTCCTACCTTAGTAGAGTTTCGCGTGCATGATATGGGCTCGTAACCGTATGTTGAGATCTGTTAATCAGCTGTAGCGATTCGCTATTAAGTGCGATCTTATAGTGTTCTACCAGATGCTATCACTAGATTACCAGGTTCTTTACTTGGCAAAAATGCAGTGCAACTCATGTGTTCTTGCTTTGGTCCATGGATCGCACGTGTACGAAAGCTTGTGATGTTAACCATTGTTAGAATTAAAATAGGTAAACATGAAATGCGAGATGTTTTATCAGATACTTTCATACTTTCATTTTTGTTTCACTTCCTGGTGCACTCTGTGAATTCTAATGCATGCTTCGCAACTACTCACAGCTACATGGCGTTGGAGATGCGAATTCAATATTTTGTTCCCAGTTATAGGGTCCAAGGTCATAAAGATTATAAAAATGGGAACGGTGCCGGTGATGGTTAGAACTAATCGGAAAGGGAGAAATTAGTTGTGACAATCAAGAGGATTCTGTCACTGGCTCGATGTTCTTGAGTGGTTGTTTCTTTTTAAATCATCTGCCCTAAAATTCGGCAGTTTGACTTTGTCGTACTTTTATAAGGTTGACTTTCAACCAGTGAACCGCTAGTTCGAACTCATTTCCATCTGTTGAGGTTCATTAGCACTCAAAAAGTATGCTAATTTAGTGCATTACATGATAACTAAGTATGAGTTTATCATCATAGAATTATTATTAGTTATTCGAACAACTGCAATGCGTAGTTTTCTCGCTTGATCTTAACCAACTTTCTTGACATTTATCGGAAAAGACAACCGTTTCAGTAAATGGAGTCGGTAAACTTGGCCGCCACGATGAGCCAGGATATTTTTTGCTTGACTGAATGAATACTGCAAAGATTGAACACGACTCATATTAATATCATGAATAGATGCTATGGAAGATTAGCGGTATCCCCTGACTACCTTAAATTCGCATTGACCAATTTACTGCAGTAATTTGGTATTTGTAAATATTGTTTAGCGATAATACGACCAGCAGCCGTAATAGGTCAAACTGTTTCATGTACTTGGGTGCTGGATATTCAACTTTGGTGTTATGCGTTGAAGCCCTGATCTTATCGATGTTTGGGTAACTAGTTTTTGAAACTAGAGCGTGATTAAAATCAGGAAATGTAGCGTAAAATCTCTTACAGAAATGAATGGGTCATCATTTGTGATCATTCTGTGTTTACAGTTCTAATCAGAGTGCAGTGGCAGGCGGAAGCTTCAACAACATATGTCTCAATGAAACCTTAATTGTCGTTTTCGATTTAACTTCAGTTAGATCTGCCTCTGTCATTCTAAACTGTATAAGAAACTGGGCCTTACTTGGATTATGTGACACTATGACTTAAACTTTGGGTGAAACACTTCGACCAACAGTTCGACCACTTTCCAGCTGCTCTTCTATTTCTTACTACCCAGTCACACCATGAACAACCTCCAGCTTGCGGTAGGTCAGGAGTTCATTGTGAGACATCAAGAGGGTTACTCAAGTCACACTTAGTCTGTTAGTAATCAGTAGTCTTAAAGATGTCATGGGCTTCGCACCTTCGGACTCAAAGTGTTTCTGTAGGATTATAATTAGCCCATACCTGCACTCACGTTTGGTGGTGAAGCGTTGAAAGCTGTCGTGTTTGTGTACCTAGGTGGTTGTGAGTACTGAAGCAAGTGACTGATGAAATATCAAGTCACTTAGAAAAAGCGAACGTGGGATACATATATCTTGACCACCTTAAGGGCTGCATCGGCGTCACCTTGTCAGTTGTTGATGAAGTATGCATTGCCTGCAGTCCTGCTGAACTCCTATGAAACTGGCTTCAGAATATCCGACGCTTCTGCAGTATTGATATCCGTTTTCTTTATGTGATGGCTAGCGCCAGCTGGGAACACCATGCAAGCAATTGCGAGGTGGATCGCGTTTAGGGGCTAATGGAGGTAGTCATTAATTGAAGTGAAACACCGACTTCGACGGTTTGAACATGTATTACCAATGTCGTCTCTAAGGATCACAAAGGGTTTGCAGTTCGCCTACCGTGAGACTAGTTTGAAGAAGCTGAGATTTGTCAGTGTACTAAGTGGCCTAACCGATAGCTGCTATATTGACGTGAGCTATGCTGGTGGAACGCTTGTCCCCTCGAGGCCCTGATGTACCAGAAAGGTTTGTTAGTAGTACGATAAAAGCAGTCAGTGTTATAGTATAAATTGCTATGCTATGATGGGGCTCCGAGGATGAAGCCGTATTGCTGGTTTGATAGTGGTCTGATAGCAGTAAGGTGTTTCCCTTGGATGACCAGCAGTACCATGCTGATACTGCTTTCCCTATGGGAAAGGGGTGTTTGACAAGGTGAACTCCGAAAATAGCAAATTTCCCTCTGCTCTGCCGTCTTTCGGTGGTATGGGGTTTTCATATCTAGCTATGTCTCAATTAAATCGCTTACTAGCAACCCTAAAGTGTCTATGTTACTGGCATCGAGCAGATATCCCATGGGCTGTGTGATTACACAAGTCATTTAATCTTTAAGTTGCTCCTCAGAAACAACTTCCACGGTATGGACAGCCGGAAAATGTCAGCCACCCGCAAGCTTCAAGTAGTGTTCGAGGTCCAACCAAAATAACCTGTTTTCCTTATTTCTCTTTGTCTTCACTTGTTGATACCGATTTTAAACCTCTTGCGACTGCCTCAGTCTTTCACTCTGACGATTGCCAACGACTAAGGCCATCAAAACCTTACTCCTATTCTCTTAAAACTGCACTGACAACACCATTATCAAGACTGATGCAAAACATCCTTTGCGGAGCACTTGTTCGGACTGCAATAACGCGTTAGTGCGTGCGCGTGTATGCCTGCACCATACTAGTCGCAAAACACTGACCGCAGTTAAGCATGCAATTGCTTGACTGGAAGATGAGAACATTGACTACTTATTTGGGTAAGCGATAACTAAGCATATATCTGAACGTGACATCCTGAGGAAACCTAGTGTGAAATTAAGTCTGCTGTAGAAACAGCGATAAAGATAGTTGGTAACCCACATCCAAAGGTTAGCATACATCAATGGATTTCTGAAACATTATACGAACTGATTGATGCGAAAAGACTGATTCCAGCTGACTCCAACCTCAATGAAGAGTTTAAGAAGCTGAGACGTAAATTGACTGAGAGTCTTCGCGATGACCGCGAGCAGTTGTGCGTTTCAAAGGCGAGAGAGGTGGAGAAGGCATCAGCCTTAGGTGGTACCGACAAGTGTTTAGCCTTGTTAAAGATTTTGGCAAGAAGAAGACGGTGATAAGTGAGACTATCACCGAAAAGGATAGGACGCTGGTAACCTCTCAGGACAGACGGTTAGAATGTTAGGGAGAATGCTTTGAAGAACAGTTTAAATGATCCCCAGCAACGCTCCAGTTGCTCAGCATTCAACCTGAAAATGCATAAGATGTAGATGTCGGTCCCCCAGCTATCTTAAAGTTGAGAAGGCTGTTTCTAATTTGGAACGATGCAAAGAAGCAGGACCTGAAGGTTTACTTTATCATTCGACGCTTTTAACGATGGGGTTAGGCAATTACTGAGTAGAGTAACGCCTGTACTAGGTAGTGTATGGAAATCAGAGGTAGTGGCTCCAGACTAGTCTACTTCACTGGTCATTCCAGTCTGTAGGAGGAGAGAGAAGTCTTCCAATGACAGCCATATGGGAATTGGTTTGACCAACATCCTATGGGGCATGCTAGTCTGTTGCATAACTGGAAGTCGAGTAAACTAGACAGGTTTTAGACCGGGATGAGGGTGAGTCGATCAGACATCCACCCTTTGTCAGGTTATGGAACACAGGCATACTTGCCGACCAGTGATCGAAACTTGCTATATTCCTTGACCTGAAGGTGGCATTTGACTCAGTCCACTGTGCGTTGTTATGGTAGTGTCTGTCCGTGAAAGGAGTACCGAGCAAGTATATAGTTCTGATTAAAGCTTTCTTCCAGTTGTGTGAGGGCTTATGGATAATCGACGACAACTAGTAGTGTCCAGCAGACATACCCACTGTCACCATTCCTAATCAACGTCGTTATAGATATATTAATGGACATAGTCTTCTGTATCATTGACTGGTCTACTCCCTGTAAGGATTGTGGTTGACTCGGAGTGCGCAAACGATACTGTCCGGTTAGGTGAAGCTGGCGACAAAACATGGGGTCTTTGGAACGCGTTGAGCGAAAATCCGAGTTTATTTCGCGTGTGTTTCGCACCTGTCAAATGTGATATGATACTCGAGGGTTGGTTCACTTCAAGTACTCCGAGTTAAATGATGGAAAGTGAAGTGGTTGAATTCACCAATCAATTCACTTACTTAGGAATTTGCATCAGCGCTAATGGATTGGTTGATGACGATATTTCAGCGCGACTCGAAATCTACTTTGTACCTATGTGCACATTTGTTCAATAGACAATTGGCCATACGTATTGTGTGGTGGCTACTGATTCCACCTGGGGTGGTGCTCGAACCCGGGTTGTTGGTCATGTCCTTTGGAAGCAGAAGACATGAAGCGGTTACAAGATTTTGACCCTACGTGTCTTCATAGCATTGCTCGCGTATTGTCGGATTACAGTGGGGGTAATGTTGAGGTCATGTGGAGAGTAACAGGCAAGTCAGTCGATGATGTTGTACACCTTCATCGACTGAGGTGACTCGGATATGTGTAGTACACACCAAGTCACCGCTTACCTATACGTGTAGTGCAGTGGGAAGTTCGATTAGGCTGGGAGAGATTTCAGAGTGGTCAGACAAAGATGTGGCGCCAGTCCATGAAGTCCCTGACTGTTAGTCTGAGCTGTATAGGGAGGTGTAGACTACCTGGCTGTGGTCCTCGAGACGATAGAAATCAGTGGTTGATGACTTCTGGTGAGATCGTTGAAAATCAGTCACAGTTGCGCAGATTTATTCACTCTACATCTATGGTGAAGTTGATTAAGAATGAAAGCATCAGCGTAGCACTGTTACTCATGCGTCAGAAACGCCTTACTGCTGTCACACCCCATCCTGACACCCGTACGACCTTTCCATTGAATCCTCTTCATAGCGTTGCAACTTAAACCATAACTTTAACTGCTTTTTGTCGTACCATTATCTTCCTGGCTTAGCAAATCTCAAGGGAGTAAGCGTTTCAGTCAATGTAGCTGGTTGGATCATAGTGCTTTACAAGCCCGACCACTACGTCAAGGTAGCACCTATCGGTTCGGACATATCTGAATAGTTGATAATACTTCCATTAATTAGGCAAGCATAGTTCAGCTGTTCATCCGTATGACAGGTATCTGATGTATAACAAATAGGAAATTGGTGTGGCCTATGAGATCGACTTTCCGACTCACTGCATTTGATTTTCCTTATTTTTATTTCAGAAAACGCAAAGCTGAAGAACAAGAGGAAGAGAAAAAACTTGTGGAGTATGACAAAATATGGAGGAAAAACTATGAAGTTAGTACATATTCATTCAAGTTTTCTGTTTACTGTAAGCGTTATGAGTTAGTTTACTACGCTACTTGAAACGGGTTGGCTTGTGTCACTTCAAGGTTCTTCATTCCTCATTTGTCACGCTCTTTAGTGCTTAACGATAGTGCACAAAGTTTCCAACAGCTTTCAGCAAACCATACATCGAGGTTAAGGTAGACAAAGGCTGTTGTATCACATTCTCGGAAAAAATAAGTTTATGAATAAGTAAGTTATTTCTGAAACCCTATTCTTAGTTACAATGAACTGGAATTCAATACCCTAGTTAGAAATACAAATACTACAGGCTGTTCGGAACTTAGTAGCCTTCCACAATCTTATAAACCGGTGCTCATGATCCTACGGGTAGTGTTGACCTAACTAAGTAGAACGAGCTTTCAACGTGTGACTAGTCAGAAGTTGAGTGCTTAGGCCACATCTATATAACATCCTGAAAAGGACAGGCTGACTTGTCTACACTGAGTATTTAGCTTGTAGGGATGTGTAAGAAAATTTAAAGTTGTAGCGACCGACTGTAATCAGTTAAGCGTTTTACTTGAAGTTAAGAGCAAGAGATCCGATTCGTTTTCTGTTTTTTCATTAAATATCAACCTACATGTATTCTTTTTATTGAGGTTATAGCTTAGCGTTGGAACAAATAAATTGCCAAGTACTAAGTTACATGTTTCACATAAAACTGAATACAGACTATGTTATTATCTACCAGTGTCACAGCTTTGCACCTGGAAATAAACCTGCCTACTGGTTACTTCAATTTTTTTTACAATTGAAGATTTTTTCAACTAAAACAGTTGTTATCTATTTGTTTTCCGAATCTAGTGAGTCCGCGTATTAAAGCGACGATACTCATTGGCCATTTAAACGTCACTCATCGAGGTGTGACTTTAAATTGGTTATACAGCAGTTTGTACATATTTTTAAAAGTATTTCCTTTGCGACCAGTAAATTGTTTGTTCCAGACTATCAATACACTAAGTACTTAATGCCTCACTATTGCATATTTCGGTCGTTGTTTGATTTCACGAAATACAACATAAAATCGGTCAAAATATGTAGAACTAGGTTTTCTTGGCTTAGACACTCAATTCCCCATTAATTCTGATCCCTCTCTAACTGCCAAGGTTTAGACAGTCAGTGGTACTATTACCCCTTATACCATAGGTTCGTTTCTTAGTCTAAAACATGATGTTGCACACGTTGGTCTACTTGTATTCCATTATTGTACTTCAAAACAATGGGGACAAGCAATTTTAAAAAGTGACGCATATAGGCCTTCATTTTTGTATATTGAATGAGTAGCTGGAGGAATTCAATGGCAAAATTTATCTGACCGAAACTGTATTGTCCAGTGATCCGTCAACCAATAGTCTCAATCCATGTGAATTCACCGTACAGATATCAACCTCGGCAATACCCCTAGTGAAACTCGGTTTTACCAAGTTAACACTCAGGTTTTAATACATTCCATCTGTTTCGTGAGGATTATGGTGGATAAGCTAAACAAAACGGTTGCTAGTAGATATGAATTGCAGTATTCGCTGTCTGTAGCTAAATCTTTGAATATTTAGATGGAATTGATATAGAGTTTTGGTTTGTAGATATCCCGATATCTAGTGAGTCACTGGATTAATGGATGCACATGAACCAATTGATACAGGCTCTGAGCACAATGAGGAGCGGAAGCAAATGAAATGTAAACTGATGATGAGCATATAGTGGTGGGTAGCTAAGACCAAAGATTGAAAAGACAGTGGCAATAGTTAGCAGCAGCTACTTAAGCTTATTAGAGAAACGGGCGAAAATGTCAGCGGTTAACATGATTATAGCGGAAAAGAATGAATCTGCAATTCACTCGTAGGGCTGATGACTGGAATTATGGGTGGAACACTGACAAACAGTTAAAATGGCCTCCAGCTGCTATTTCATTGCCCGCTATCCAGTCGGGTCCTGAATATCACATTGCGATGGAGTCTGCAATAGTTGCAGAAGTCGACAAGGCTGTAAGTAATATGAAATGAGGAAGGACAGCAAGACCAGATGCGCTAGTATTGGAGGTATTGAAGAATGATGACCTAGGATTACTGGTCAGGTTCACTGAAGTGTTGGCCAGGGTATGGGGATCAGGTATAATAACCTGGGACCGATTTCAGTCGCTGATTTCCCCAGTCTTCAAAAAAGCCCTCATTTTTAACTACAGGAAAGCCGGGCTGATGAACATAGTATCTAAGATCCTAGGTTTTTAACCAGTGGATGCCTGAGGAAAGCTCTGGAAAAAACCCACGTAAACTAGGCAGGAAAGTTTCAGACCTAGCCGTGGGTGTATCAAACAGATATTCACTTTCCACTAGGATTTGTAACACACACCTACCGACACCAGACAGCTGTATTTTTCAAGGTGAAGGCAGCATTCAAGTGGTTTCTTAGTGCCCCTCGCTGAAAAAGGTACCGAGTAAGTACATCATCCTGTTGCAGGCTCTTCACTTGAGCGCCTTTCGGTGTGTTAGAGCCTGTGGTGAGTTGTGTACATCGAGGATGCCCACCCTTCCCATTTTTATTCAATTTTATCACAGACGTACTTATTCAGGTCTCCTTCTCATCGCCTGATTTCACACGGGTCGGTCTTATCATAGCAGAATCCTTGGTGGATCTAGTGTACGCAGATGATGTAGTCCTGTTAGGTGAAGACCCTGACAAGATGCAGAGTCTTCTAGACACCTTGAGTGACAGTCTGAGAATGTTTGGGATGCATTTCTCCCCACCCAAATGCAATTTGTTTTTCCACGGCTGGTCTTTAGCAGTGTCGCGATTAACAATAGAGAGTGAAGTGGTTGAGTGTGTTCAGCACTTTTCTTACCTGGGAAGTCGGGTCAGACCTGGTGGGTCAGTGGCCGACAGAATCTCTGCACATATACAAAAAGCTGGACTGGCTTTCGCTAACTTACACCACATGTGATGCCACTGAGATTTCCGATTTTCTGTTTGATGTCCAGTGTACTGCGTTGCAGTTCGCTCTGTTCAACTGTATAGTCGTGAAATATGGACACTGAAGGTAGAGAAAATGAGAAGGCTTCAGGTATTTGATCACCATTACCTTCTGAGCATAAGCTGCGTTTCATGGTGTCACGGCGTGAGTAACGCAGAAATCAGGTGTAGGGTTTTAGGAGGAAGATGAAAGTCAGTTGGTGAAGTTGTGAACTTTCATGGACTCAAGTGGCTGGAACATATGTTATGCATGTGTAGTCATTGCTTGCCTCGTCGCACAATATTAGCTGAAGTAGGTTTAGGCTGGAAAAATGTCAGGTGAGGTCTGACTAGAACGTGGCATCAGTTGACGATTTCTTTGACAACCGTTATTATTTATTATCTGTATTTTGATAGAATTTTCTATGATTTCGATGTGTATCAATGATGCAGACTTTAGTTTTTCTGGCGTAAAACTAATTTATTATTTACCATTCAAAAAATCTTCTTTAAGGAAAGTCGTAGTAATCGTGTTGCAAGTTGGCGGGATTTCAAAGAGAAGAAGTCTAGAACATCGAAAGGTATCGGTGGTTTAAAACCACCCAAAACGAAAATGGAGCAAAGGCCAACTTAGTAAGCGGAATCCTCAAAGCACTTTTTATATACTCTTAAAAGAAGAATAATTATGAATACCTGTAAAATATTTCCACACTTGAACATTTGTTCCACCATATCTTGTTTGCCTGTATATGTATTTGTATCATCCTAAAAAAGAAACATAACTCACTTTCATATCCAGCGTGTATTTTTTTTCACTATGGTAATGTTTATATCATGAGACAACCATTCAATATGTTCTGTAGTTACTGAAGGTATTTTCAAACTGATTAACGGTAGTAATAAACAGTAATAACAGTGGTAGTAACAAAAAATATTGCTTAAATTGTGTTCACATCAAACAATATTTAGTTGGTTATCAGGAAAAGAAAAACAATATCAAAATGCACACAAAATGAATGGGGAACGAATTATTAATAGGCTACTTATTCAAAAGGCGCGATATACACCGGTGTATGTGAATTGATGAGAATACGCTGATGGATTGTAGAAACAAGGAATGAAGAAATGCAATCCAATCTGATTGTTAGAAAAATAACGTAAAATAATTTATTCTCTGTTTGTTCGTATTTCAAGATTGTACATTTTAGCCAGTTCAGCGTCCCATGTTAGTACCTGCTGTTTAACTGGATCATATTTACCAGCAATGAAATAATGAAATGTATCTGGGTCATCTTTACTTGGTGAAATAGTTTTGTCGTGGACAGATGTGGTTGGTGGATTTGACTGTTGGCTATGTCGTTCAGTGAACGTAGAATATTCTATATTATGGATTGCTTCAGAATTTACCTAAATGAACAAAAGAAAATGAACATAATGATCTAGAATAGACAACAGTATCTACTGAACTGCAAATGACTCGAATTAATTTTACGGAGTGCAAATCTGGCTAGAGCTTAAATTTCTCGATTATTGAATTTACATAACCTAGCTTTAGCAACCGTCGTTCAAATATAAGCTTCTTAGCCTATCGATGTAGAAAGTCGGACACAAGTGCGTGGGTTCAAGTTGCCACTATTCACAGTAGCATAAAAAACAAGTGAATAAAAGAAGACTCATCAAAGTAGAGAGGGAATAAACAATTGGAAGACGAAGTTTTATGTACTTATAGTGACTACCTAACATGACCCAAGTTAAATATATGTGGACGCTTGAACAATAACGTTAGAATCCAACGCCTAATGGTCGCTTAGTTCCTTCATAAATAGGAAAAGCGGTAATATAACGTGTATTGTGACGTGGAAATAGTACGTGCAGAATACAGTGGTTAGTATATATTAACAGTGACCTTGGCTACTTCCAGAACTTTATAGGTTTGGATATTCACTTGGTTTTTGCCTTTTCAGCCAATCTAATATATACACTTTGGTCCACGTATTTTCCCCGAGACTTCGGAGCAAAAGGATTGGTTGGAAAAAGGCTTCAGGGGTTTACGGCTTCTTATAAAAATTTTGGTGATCTTATTCCATACTGTAACAAAATGGTTAGCAAAAATATTCAACCTTTAGAAAATGTCAAGAAGTGACTACATCTGTGCCACTGTGACTGATTTTCAACGATCTCACCAGAAGTCATCAACCACTGATTTCTATCGTCTCGAGGACCACAGCCAGGTAGTCTACACCTCCCTATACAGCTCAGACTAACAGTCAGGGACTTCATGGACTGGCGCCACATCTTTGTCTGACCACTCTGAAATCTCTCCCAGCCTAACTTTCCTAAATCGATGCTTTGTCAAAGAGTAGGCAGAATAAGTGGTGAAAAACGGAAAAACACTGGAAAGGAAAACATTTCTGCCTGCACACAGTTGTATTGATGTCGTGTACGCAACTGCGTACACGCATTATTGATAGATACTGACCAGGAACTGAATACAGGGTATCTGCTTATTCCCTTCTAGGAACCGTCAGCTAAATATACGTCTTTTAGTGAGTGGTAGTGTTCCCAATGGGAATGCCACTCAAACTCAAAACCCATATGACCCTACCAACATCATCTTTCTCTCTTATTTTATCGTCTGTTCTGTATCATCATTTAAATCCCATTCATACCTAGCCCTTACCTGTTTTGCTATTCTCTCATGGTGATGTAAACTATGTAGAGGAGAGAGAGAAATAAAGTCAAACTTATAGTAGCTACTTTTTTCAAGAGTGAATAATGAACCTATGTTCTTATAGTTATGATAGATGAAGATGAATGATTTCACTGTTTCCATGCATAGCTGGTCAGTAAAGAATAATCGAATATACTATTCTTACAGTATATAAGATGAAGCAAGACAAACAAGAAATTTACTGAATTTGCAAAATGAATACTGAAGGCTCAAGCGTATATTAGCAGTTTCCATACAGAAGGCTATTTCTGATAGCTACATTGATTTCAGTAAACACTACTGCAAATAATTCCACCTTCGATCTTATTGACTAGTCCGCATAAACTTAAGCAAACAATTAAGGGAAAATTCTTTGAAACATTCTTGACAAATATTTATGGAAATATACTAGATGAAGAAATAAAAAAGTTTTTCACTAAGGCTTTCATGCTAATGCATACAGTGAATATCAACTCAGGTTCTGTTTAAGCAGGCTATCTCAATCAAATGCCTTCCATAGGATATATGTATATGGAAAGAAGAACGTAGTTCAACTCTCATTTGTCTACTGTGTTTATTTAACCACTAAAACATGGTTTTAGATCATTTTTTCTTAATAACTCCAACATTTCCTGCATAAGTTAGACTTATTTAGACTAAAATTTCAAATATTTACTTTCTACACACTAGTTTACTGACTTCATGAACTTCATTGTCGATTTCGATGGTATTGTTACTCAGCAATTGGTAAAATTTAAAACCATTTTGTTCTTGAGTCATTTTCACTTAGTGAAAACCTATGAAAAAGGTGGATTCATTTTCGCCGCCAACCTTGTTGTTGTAATGACAAATTCGAAATTATCAAATGAGACAGATATATGAAGAATATATTTCATATTAATGGCATCGAGGTTTCTGTAAAATACACCAGTATCTTTCATCCGAAAGTGTCATTTGCACAAAAAAAGTGTTGTTACCAAAATATCGATGAACTTTGAAATGGTGGAGAATATTTGTAGCTCAGGTGCACAGTCTTGGTTGTATTGTGTTCTCTGAGCTCAGAGAACGAATTGAGCATGACTGTTAACCACTTTGCTCACTGTCAACCGCTACTTTAAAAAGTAGCATTCTCATTTCATAGACTACAACTGTAGCAACTTTAGTCGTTATACTACAAGTATAGTTCACAACCTAGTAGGAAAATTTGCACATACTTACTGAGTTAGATTTGCGTATATTGTTTATTCATTTCATTACCGTTGTTTGCACTAAATCTACTTATTTGCATCACCTCTTGTTGATTTCCACTCTATGAGCTGATGTGAAGTATCTCACATTGGTTATAGCTAAATGAATATATAAATACTTTAACTTTTCAGCTGATGAATCAGTACTGGCAGAGTAATTCAGCCTGATGGTGAAACATTTGCAGTTAAATTTGACAGCTCAGAGAACATGAGATATTTATGATTTCCATCTTGGGCTAAAAATCTTCTCTGCTGCAGGGAAATATGGCTCTATCTGAGTTCAAAGTAATGCGCATATGTGTTACATAAATGAAATTGAATGAATAACGCTAATAAGCAAGGATTTAAACGAAATTAAGTGAATTGAAACGTGTGGTGTGATGGGATCAGATGACTTAATTACAACACTCTTCAGATATTTAGTTTCTATCGAATGTCATAGTGATAATAATAATAACAATAATAATAATGGGGGTAATATGAAACAGTTTTCATAGTCAGAGAATGTCCATGCTACAAACAAGTCAGAGCCAAGATTTTCAGGTCTTTGAGCAAACAAGCTGTGATAAAGCCATTGTATTGGGACTCAACGACTGGAGTTTGCTTAAGAGAGAATAACCTTAGAATATAGTCTAGTATCCCGAAGATGTTTAAACATCCATTCATCATGAAAAGCACCTTTATATTAAATAACTGTCAAGACCAAATTCATATATATTTGTGATAGGGTACAAATAACTTACTATTTTGGCTGGTGAACGAAGATCCGTTGAGTTATTAAATGAATTACTGTTAGAAGCAGTTACTGTAGTATTATTTGTAGTATTTGATTTGCTGGGACAATTCAACATAGATGACGACATTATCTCATTTTTGGGGTCAGTGATAGTGTATGAAGAAGAGGAAGATGAAAGTGGTAGGGAATCTTCATGGGAACTGGTCTTATATGGAGGTCGGTTTGGTTGTGCTTCATGATGCCGTCGATAATTTGCTTGTTGTTTGCGTTGCTTTCCCTCTTCTTTTTCCTCGCTACTCAAGTTATTTAGGTTGGTTACAAAGGATAGTAAAGATAATGGACAGTCCTTCGGATCAGTGTAGATTGATGGTGTACTTTCATTAGCATTATTACTACTGGACTTTGCATGTAAATTTGTTAGTAATTGCTCTAAGGACTTTTCGTATTTTGCTGTTTGGTTTCCATAATGACTAGGTGTGCGATGTTGAGTTGTAAGTGATCGAGGACTTTTAGAATGTTCAAGATCATTGCTAGGGATTGTCTTCGATTTATACGCTTTATAATTTTTCCGCACATCGTATAAACAAGCTATAAAAGAATCGCGTTGGCTGCATTGCGATGTTTTTACCAGGTCATTTGATGAATGGAATTGATTGCAGTTTGGCGAATTTTCGAAGTTCGAAGTAATAGTAGATGTAGCACTTGTAGAAATAGTAGTAGCACTGGTAATTATATTTTCTTGAGATTGTCTGCTTTGTAAGCTTTGCAGTATATTTAACTGTACAACAGAATAACACGAGAGAAATCTAAATGAAGAGAGCGTTTTTCAAGTACGCAACAGATAAACGGTATGTCAGTAAAATTATTAGAAAACTAAGTGAATTGGAGTCAAATTTGATAGCAAGTTCATAATTACCCTGAAACCATCAAAGGCTAGATGCTAAAGAACATCACTGTTCCGATTTTAGCACTGTCCATGTCGAAATACGATTTACAAATAGTATAAATAACTATACAATCACATATTTTCTTAAGGGTCACAGATATATTTAAGGATTAGAAAAAACCTAATACTCTTGGGACACTTACTCATACACCAACAGTTTAGTGAAGATAAGCAGATGACACTTTTTAAGTGCTAAAATCAGCAAATATCAATACGGTTTCGACACAATCTAAGTAAGAGATGCAATCCAACTAACTTCTGAGTTGGGAAGTGATGAAGGCAGGTTAACTGGACTAAACTGTAAGATAAGATGTGAATATCATGAAAGCTCAGGTACTACAGTGTACATAAGACCACGTTAAAATCGATATCCAAACCTTAGCTTATTCCATATCACACCAGTTCAAATAAGCCTAGTGGAAAAATCAAGCAGTAAGGCCCAAAAACTAAACTGTAAGAAAAGATTTACGAAATGAAAAAAAACCTTTTGGAGTTCCGTTACAATTGTCCAGAAGTTTCCAAAGTAAGTCGTAAATAAGTGAAGGAAAAAAACTGGTGACCTAGATACCAATAATGTGAATAATAAAGGTAACACCAAAGAAGACGAAAATTAAACCTCTACACTGCTTCTGTGTAGAGTAGAGATCTCAGAAAGGTTATGTAGTATTGCAAAAAGGGTTACGGTTAGGAATAGAATTCAATGTTATAGACTCACCTAAAAAAAGACCTGTCAATTAACGTATCCTATTGCATAGAAAAAAATTGATTTGCTTGTTTCATTGCTATGATTGCAAGGTCTACCAGGATCGGTTAGGCTTTCCTAGTAGTCAAAGAATTGCTTTGATTGGAGGGCTATTAAAAACTGCACTTCCTTAAGATAGCACAACAATATAGAACGTTGATGGAATTCAATATTGTGGAATTCTCTAAGTGTTCCATCAGACATTTAGATGATAAATTTAACTCAGTTGGTTGATATTTGCAAACAAAAAAACTATGTTGAATAAGCAATCTGATACGACATGATAGCAATACACATTTTTCTCCCAAATTAGCATTACGAATAAATTTAAATGCATCTTTCAAAGAAAACTAAAATGATTCATTTTGAATATCATTAAAAATTTCCCCAACCATCTAATGTATAGTGTGAGTAAATGGCATATGCATGATATCAGATTTGGGAACTCAGATACCTAGGTTTCAGCGAAGTAGGCTTGTTTACACTGGTAACATTCATATTTACCAGTTTTACTAGATTACAGTACTTTGACTTTGCATTAAAAAAAAGACGATCGATTAAATATCATCCGTCAATTGGGTGAAAATGCAAATTCATCTTATTTTGTAGCTACCTTCGTTCGTCACGACCTGACCGTTTATCGAATTTAAAAATGTCTGTGCCAGATGTATTTGGGAGTTATTTGACAGGTTTGAAATCCTAAATGCTAAAGTGCTTTCTTATCTCAGATTGTAAATATGAATATGAAAAGTAGTATTCACTAGTGTAACCTTCAAATAACCATGATTAGTTAGAGGCTAGAACAAGGGAAAAACTGACAAACAGTTGTGTTTTTTAAGTTGGTATTCACCACAGACATATCACTTGGGAAATCACTAGGAATCTGGGAGCATTGGACAGTTGTTTCACCTTAGTACGAAACTCCTCAGCACTGTGCATCCATGACATCTCCGGGAAGCGAACCCATGACCATCAGGATATGCGGCCGGGGTGTTACCATTGAGCGACTGGGTTGGAATCTAATGGTCTACATCTTCCTAATTCTACCAGTTTGCGATGGCACAGCCTAGTGAAACAATGGATGTGCACTGCTGTGGACCTTATACTAGGACGAAACAGCTATCTAGTGTTCCCAGGTTTCAATACTTCTCTAGCTGATGTCGGTTTGCAATGAGTACCAACCAGGAACCAATAAAGCGGCACAAACCTCCAAAAGCTTCTTTTTAAGTTTCGTAAAGAGGTGTATGGTGATTGGTAAGTCGTAATATCCTACATATTATAAATTTTGGTACCTTGTGCAGTTAGTGCGAAGTAATAGGTCCTACTCCATAAGACGAAATCTACTTCTTATAACGATAATCTCAAGATTGAATACAAGGAAGAAGTTTGGTTAAATATCTTATACTAAAGTATATATTATGTGTCCTGATGGCGATGAATATTCATAGCCTGACACAAATGATGTAATGGTAAACAGTATTTTCGAGAGATTGTTTCAAATGGGTACATTTATTTGTAAAGCCACTATTGAATATTGGACATACTATATAATATTCTTGGTCACTGATGACTATCGTTTCAGAGACTTGCACCGTTAGGTACTTAGTTTGTACATAACTTAAAACTTTATGAAAAGTCCATCTTTCTTAACCTCTTCAAATCCTTTTTTTCTGAAATTGACATGGTGATTTAAGCAGTAGGTGTGCAATTCTGACGAATACTAAGATATATGAAGCTTGTCCAGCTTAGTCTTCAAATTTGAATAAGTCTACAGTGATGTTATTGCATCTTCTTGTAACTGAAGCAAATATCTTATTATTGAACTAAAGCAGACAAGATTTGTTAAATCATAGTGGTATTATCTAGTTTAGTCATTTCTATATTTTACTTAACATAACTTCACCTGGTAACTCGCTCATTTTCTTCATCGTCATCATCTACTCAAGGAGTGAGGCCTTCTGACATAAAAACAAGAATCGGTTGGTTGTTACTTCCAAATAAGTTCAAGTTAGTTGAGCGGTAATGGAACATTTATGCTTTAAGTCATTAGTTTCGATGAAAGCATCAATTTAGCTCAAGTAATGAACCTGTGAAAGTTTATGCTCCCTATACAAATGAATAGATGTTTTGTTGTGAGTGGATTGGTAAGTTGTGTCAATCAATTTGTGTACATAATCTATGCATATAGGAGGTTAGTCATGGCTTAAATAGCTAAATGGTTCAGTCGCTAACTTCAGAACTGAGTGGGTCACCAAGGTAACAACAGTTTCCTCTTGATTGCAAGTATGACCTACTGATTTTTGCCAACAAAAAGGAAACATAGTTTCAGGGCTTTCTGAGGACTGACGCACATGATCTAACAGTAGAAGTTGGTTTCCAGTTCGTGGCACCATCAGGAATAATGTGACATCTTAGGTAAGAAATTCAAATACAGACAGCAGTTAATCGAAAAGTCATGTTTATATCACTTAACAAAATACACAGCTTCCTTATTCACAACAAAAGAAAATATGTCATAGGAGATATCTTTACATATTGTAATTATCAAAATCAACAATCTAACGACAAAACGAAGGATAAAAAGTAAACTAGACATAAATTAAACAAAGAATAAGGTGAAATAAATATAAAGCTTTATAAAACATATGCACAAATTAAAGTCATCATGATTACTGTTGTTATTATCATACTGCTGATAATGTTACATCTATGTTCGATGATATCAAGACTCATATATGGCTGGAATCGCCCAACATGTCTGTTTTTGTATCCTGTGTTAAGTGTCAAGTACTGAGTATTATGAAACTATATCAACTCATAACCTCGCCTGGTTAACTAGTTCACTAGTTACTAGCCGGTCGTAACCCCGGGTAAAGAGGGAAGGTTGGGCATAGAGATAGCAACCCTACCCCGTAAAACAAATCTAACCGCTAAAGAAACTTCGAAGCACAAACAAAATATAAAAAATAATAACAAATTATTCCTCACTGGAATCGGAGAGGCGAAATGACGCCAGTTGGTGAAAGCCTTCGGGAAGCCAATTGGCCGATGTGTCTTCTCTCGATAAAAGCGAAAGTAAACGTGGGGACATGGAATGTCCGCACGATGTTTGAACCCAGTAAGGCAGCCCAGATTGCAAACGAGATGAGAAGGTATCACATTGAAGTGCTTGGAATTTGCGAAAGCAGATGGAATGGGAGTGGAGTCTCCAAACTGTCAACTGAAGAATCAATAATCTACTCCGATATTGTCACCCAGACAAAAAGCCAACCACGAGCACACTGAGTTTTCGAGTGGCTATCATGATGTCCTCAAGAGCATCGAATGCTCTCATGCAGTGCCAAACAATCTCCTCCGATAGAATCATGACAGCAAGATTCAACTCAAAAGGAAGGAAAGTCACAATCATACAATAAAAAGCTATGCACCTACAAGTAATGCAGAGCAAGAGAAAAAGGAGTATTTCTACAGACAACTTCAATCAACACTGGACAAGAAAAAACCTCAGTTGGCGATATCAAAAAAAATTCTAATGGGCGACATGAATGCCAAACTGGGAGGGGACAACACGGGAAGAGAACTAACCATGGGTCGAGAGGCGCTAGGTGAAAAAATGAACGAGAATGGAGAATTGTTTGCAGAATTCTGTGCATTCAACGACTTGGTGATTGGAGGCAGTGTGTTCAGGCACAAGGATATCCACAAAAAAGCGACATGGACTTCACCAGAAAAATGGACAAAAAACACTAAAAATCAGATCGACTTCATCTCAATCTCAAGAAAATGGAGACGCAGTCTACTTGACACAAGGTCAAGAAGAGGAGAAGATGTAGGTTCACACCACTCACTATCTAGTGCAAGGAAAAAACCTTCCAAATCAAGTTGAAAGCCTTCAAGGAAGTTGGTGATAGACCTCAATTCAAGTACAACACTCGGAAACTGAAGGATGAAACTACAAAGGAGATCTTCAAGGCAGCCATCAAGACAAAATGGGAGATATCGAGGAACATCCCTGAAGAAACCTGTATGGAAGAACACTGGAAGTCTTTGAAAGAGGTGTGGAAAGAAACCTGCACAACAGTATTAGGAA